AAAACTTCGTATTATGTGCAAATGAAAATTTAGCTTACAGTTTCTTTTGTTAGTGGAGAGGACATAATTGTTCCAAAATACGTGAAATGTGAATGTTTTCCTGTTAATTGTAGGAGAACAATATTTCATCCATGTGGGTGCTATAACAGTAAATACCAAGTGTAGGCTTTAAGCATCTTGTACGCTCAACAGATTTGAAAGCCACTAAGTGCATGAGCAAGAAGAAAATGGAGACAGAAGGCAAAAAACGCTGAAGGGAAAATCCTTCTGAAAACTCACAAAGCATTTCTAAGCTTACAGAAATGACCTGCTCCGTTCCTGTTACACAGAAGTGTTAAAATGAGAGCAGGCGACCCCTTTCCCCCAAATCATTCATCTGTTATGTCTGCGATGTATTTAGACTGAATCCTTTACCAGATGCTGCGGATCTGTCGGTTCCAGGGGAAATTAATGGGATTTTACCATTTGCTTTGAGGAAAAGAGGACTGGACTTTCTCCTGCTGTCTTTGGCAGGAAGGAGCAAGGAGCTTTCCTGTCTGCTCTCCTTAAATATTGCGTCTTTTTAAGTTTTTTTTGCCAGATAGCCTTTTTTGTATTACTGCAATATAACATGCTGGAAAATTACAGAGGTTAATGTACAGCACTGTGATACACAATCATAATGGTAGACTCTAATGTTTTTTAAATGATAAACCAAAGGCATTTGTAATACGAGTTGTAGTGAATTGCCTGCACTTCTTGCCAGACATTAGTTTAGCATTGCTTTTAATATTTTATGCACTGAAGTTGTTTGTAAAGACTAAAAGCTTCACTCACTTTGCACACTTGTGCTTTGTTCTGTCCCTGTACAAAACACAACAGAACCACTCTCTTGCTGATGAATTATATGTCAAGAAGTTCTATCAAATTAGAGTTATACTGCATTGGAAAGATTTTTCTACTGATCACTGAAGAATACGTTGGATTTATGGTGTCATAACTGAGCCAAGTATTTAGAAATCTAACCTTTCGTAATATCACAGGTTGCATATTAATGTTTTAAATATCTAAACCACACAAGAATGACGTAGGACATTTTTACTTTAAATGTTACTGTAGAGATTTGACGGTACATAATCCCATTAAAACAGAAGAGTGCAAGATGAAACGACCCATTTGCAATTATAATTATGCATATTGAGATTGACCATTCTTTAAAAAATTGGAAGTGCAAGGTTGAGAAGGGTGCTTGAGCAATCACTCTTTGTTGAGAGCATTGATGGAAGAATAAAAAAATTGAGGGAGATTGATTTGTCAGTAATCTGCATGAAAAAGTATGGGGAGCATTTCTTTGGAACGTGAAGGAGAGGTAACCCTTTCACTGTCATGGTTAGCTTTGCTTGGAGAGCCATCACAAAAAGCCATGATCAAAATGAGATCAGCAGGTAACACCGAACTACTTCTCCTGCTCTTGACACTTGATAAATAAAGAGTATTAGTTGATCAGCTTAGTATTGAAGAGTCAGCATGGCTACTCATGAGTACTCCAGAGGAGGTGGGTTTTGTTCTAGCTCTGTCAGGGGCCTGCTTTTTGACCTTGAGCAAAAAATTTTTGTCTCTTTGCCTTTCTTTCTGCTATTCCTTGATTGCCTTGTCTTTGTGGAGGATGAGCTCTTCAGGAGAGAGATTTCTTTGCATTGTGTTCTGTGAACAATGAAGTCTGAGCCTCGCCGAGGCCTCTAGGGGCATCTCTAAAAGAAATTATAATTGTTAGCTTTAATCACTTTCATCAAAAGAGCTTGGTAATGGAGGGTGTCAGTGTGGAGGATTTGGAGAAATCTGTAGGGTGCCTGTTAATTAAGTCACCGTGGGTGAAAGTTGCTGATTGGATTTCCTTGGGCTGATGCAGAGATGCTGATGCCTGGGAGCAAGTCGGTGCTGCTCCATATGGGTTTTCATCCCCAAAAGCAGGACGCTGACGCTGGGTGCTCACTGCTCTGCTTCTGCAGAGCCAGAAGCGAGGTGCTTGGTACGTTTTAGCAAACAAAGCTTTTTCAGAAGCCTCCTACTGGTTGCCTAAAACTTCTTGCTCTTTTTTTGTGGGTCCCTCTGGTGTGAGCATTTGCAACAGAAATTGGGTTCCTTGGCTTTTTGCAGTGAAGACATATCCTTGAGGGTGAGCCATCCCATCTTGATGGGGTCTCCTCCTAGCCTTTGCTGTTGTCAAAATAAAGTGTTTATCATTGCTCTCCTTATTAGCAGCTTCCAGTTTGGGATGGAGGTGCAACAGCATGCCAGTTTGCAGATTAATTACCCTTCTTGTGATGCAGAGCAATGCGCCCTTGTCCTCTTTGAGTGGATGCATTACTCACCATAGCGAAAGATTCAGAAATATTTAGCCACATGAACGCCAGCAGCCATGTTGGTAAAAGTGGGCTATGTTGAAGTGTCTCCGTTATTCATTTAAGAGTAAATTTAGGAGGTAGAGCCCCCTCTCCTTAGCATCCTGAGTGAGACCCCTTTCCTAATTGTCCAGGCAGAGTATGACCAGGGAAGCATTGGGGAAGAAGCAGCAAATGCTTTCTGAGAAGCACTGTAGGTTTGAGGGCAAGCAGGTTAGTCAAGTGAGGTGGAGAGCAGTCAAAGAGGATCAAAACAAGGCTCTCTTGCATAAAGGGCAGGACCTCCACTGCTCTGAGTATTAGGAGTCAGAGGTAAAGCAATGCCTCTTTCTTTAGTGTGTTTATTCTGTGTTTTAGGGCTAATGCCAAATCCCTGTGGTTCCTGCAGCGCACCCCTGCCAGTGAGCATTGACTCTAACAAGTATTTTGCAAGATCTTTGCTCTTGCAAGAATCCCTGTATGGTTCCCTTCCTATTTTAATAAGAACAAGAATTCCCCAATCTGCATTTGAAATCTGCATAGAAATAGCATATGGCAGAGGCCAACTCAAGGTTACACATTTGGCATTTGGGAAGGCAAGAAAAATTTACCAGTCAGTACACTCACATTAGGATAAAATAAAGGTGAGCTGGGAGAAGAGCATGTGCTGAATCCTAAAACGACACAGAAGAGCCATAAACCACAGTGTGTTGTGCTATCTCTAGTCCTTTATGCTTCAAGCAGAAGTAAAATGTGGGGTATCATAAATGAAACCAAAGATCTTGTTTTAATTTTATTTTAAAAGCCATTGCAAGGCAATGGGGGTAACAAACATTGACTTCTTCAAACCAGGCAAACTCTGCTCTGTAGTGCTCCCATCAAATGAGAATTATTCTCCAAAAGCTTCTTGTAACTAGGTAAAGGTTTTGCTATAAAGCACAAGTAGAGTAGTCTAAACAAATGGCATTTTTCCTAGAAATAAAGTATATGGATGCCCTTACGAGGTGTTGCCTGGTCTGCTCTACACTTGTAAAAGTGTTTTTTCATAATGAAACTGTATATATTTGGTCAAAGTCCAGGGCTGAAAATGGGTATAATCTGTACATCTAGGGACTTTTTTTTCATTTGTACAGTGAGGAATAATAACTGGCCTTACCGCGAGTTTGCCTGTAAATTTCTTAGATGATCCAAAGCCTGTTTATTGCTTACAGAGGCAATTTTGCTGACAGGCAAGCTGGAATAGCTCTCTTTTTCTTCTAGATCATCCATACTTGCCTATTATAGAGAAATCACTCAAAAAGCAGCATGCATGCTGGACTCTCAAGCCTTGTTTTAAGTTTTAATTTACTTGTCTGACTTCCAAGGTTACTGAATGCAAGCAATTGCTTCTTCAGTACATAAATAAGATGAATTACGTGTTAGGGACCAATGCCTTGGCCTTGTTCTTCTCCTGCTCTCAGGGGAGGATCTGCTGAGGAGTGCTTAGAGCTGGGGTGCAATATTTTTTTTTTTTTTTGTTATTGAAAATTAAAGTAAGACTGTTCTGGATTAGCTCAGATGTGAAACTGGAGCCCCAGGACCATTTTTTTTTTGGACTGAAATTTTTGAAGGTGTAGGGTGGTCCAGGGTGTGGATCCATGGCAGCTGAGTGAAAGCTGTGCTACAGCTCTGGTTGGGAAAGGCTTGGGGACTCACTGTTGTAACTGGAACAATTGGCCCCAGTTTAACAGTGGATCCTTTTTTAAATCAGCCTTTTAAAGTTTTTTTCATTTCAATACACTTCTTCCAAATAGCATGACCTGTGTTCTTCCCTACAGGTTGCAGAAAATGAGCTGGGTTTGTAGTTGATATTTGAAGCAAAATTCCGGCAGGAGGACTCATTACTGTTTCCCTTGCATGGGTTTTTAATTATATTTTCTAATTGTTTCACTGGGATGGGATGAGGTCCTGGAGTCCTGTGCTGTCCAGCTTGACTCTGACAAGACTCATTCTCACTGAAGTTTCATCTATAGCAATCCCAACTGTGAGGAGCAATTTTTCATCTGTAATTAATCCCGATAAAACCAACACAATGAGGAGGCTGATCTGTATCCATCCATTTAATTGTTTTGTCAATTAGTGTTATATTTAGCATCTAACACTGTAATTTGAAGAAAATACTGAAGATGTAAAGGGACAGTGAAATTTTAAGTTGTAGCTGCCGAGGAAAAGAAATTACTGTCCTTGCAATCATAATTTATTTTAACTTATTTTCAAACTAGATGCTTTTTATTCTGGTACAGTGGCCTCTTAAAACCTCTGATAAATTGTCTGGTTTACCAATAGTTTCTCCAGATCACATTGGAACCTGTTGTGGGAAGAGATACTCACATACCTGTGTGTTTGATATCTACTTGAATCTCTAAGGATTTTTCCTCTGACCATTGTTTTGTATGTGTTACTACTGTCTTTCCATGCAGAGATTTACTTCATAGACATTAAAAATTTTTACTTTCCAGAAATCAATTCTGTTGACAAAATGTGTTGTTTATTGCTCTGTCCTCTGGTAAATGCAAAGCAGAAAGTTCATGAGTGCTTGATAAGTCCTCAGAGGCAAGAGTAAACGTTTTCTAATTGTTTTATTTTTCTCTTTGTTTCCAGAAATGTTGAACACAGTACTCTGCAAAAAATAGCGTGTGGATTTCTTGCACCTGAAGAACAAGAAAAGGTAATTACCGGACCATACAGTCGAGCCTCATTTGTTTGCTGTGCTAAAATATTTAGACCTGATCACGTTGCATGAGCCTCCAGCACTGTGTCTGCATATGGGTTTTGTGTATTTTCAGTTATGCAGGCGCAGTTGTTTCTTGAGAATATTCCTTTATGTAAAGGGAACAGGGGAACAAAAGCAGCAGAGCATGAAAATGCTGAAGCAAATGGTAGGGAAGAGCATACTGTGAATATTTTCAGTACATGTAGAAGTGAAAAGGGTAAAAGAGGGGAAAAAAAAAACCCAAAACACAGAGGCTTATATGTGCCAATGGGAAAAGGGCTGCAGACTTCACTGTGTTTGCAAGGCTGCCTGGTGGAGCCTTGCAGCCTGCTGGGTAAGTGTCAGAGGAGGCTCAGTGATCATCAGCGTTCCAGCAGCCTCCTCATGTTTAGGTGACCGAGTCGCTCGTGGGGTGGTGCACCCAGCTCCAGAGGCTGTGAGCTCATGTGCTGCCTGCAACCCTTGCAATCCAGTCTCTTGATCCTCCTGGGTCGTGACATTTTGTTGTGGAAAGGCAGCTCGGCAGGGCTGTGGCTCAGTTGCTGGTGTTAAACAAAATGCTGTTCATCAAACTTTCATGAGACACTTTGCCAGAGGCTGCATCTTGAAAGAGTAGGCTCCAAAAAGCAGTGAGCAGAGCTGTGCTGCTCCGTACTGCTGCCATCTCCTGTATTCTACCTTCTTTCCGAGGCTGAGAGGTGAGCACCCCTACAGGGCCTTGAGTGGTTTTGCACTCTTTCCTCCCTGGAGGAAAAGTGGGACAGGCATGGCCACGTTGAAGAGTGGTGGTCCTGCTTCAACTGGTACATGGTGTATGGTGATGCAGAAGAGGGACCAGGAACTCACCTCTGCCTTAAAATCTGTCGGGCATGTTTATTACTGGGCTTAAGGTGAGGAATCTACATGAGCTGAGCCTTTCAGCAAGTTCTTGTAGTAATTAATATAATGACATTAAAGTAGAAAATGTATTGGTAGATACCAGTATGAAGAACAAAACAAATGTATAATGTGAAGGTCTGTAAATCTGAGTGCAGCAAACGAAGCCTAGTGAGACTTAAAAATATGAATGCGAAGAGAGAGACACAGCAGATGTTGCTGGGGTCAGGAAACTTTGTGTATGAACATGTGACGTGTTTCTACGAGATGCTTCATTTCATTGCTTGGGTTTGAAAAATGCATGTGAGTGACATCTTATGTTCACTACATCTGCAGTGCCATCCTGCTGATAATTAGCACGTGCATTTTAGAGGCAGTCTGAGCCAGGATGACAAATACAGACAAATCATAGGGTGGAACAATTCTGATTTCTCCATATATCAGCATAAGCATTTTCTGAAAGTCCATCTTTCAGCCCTACAAATGGAAGTGTTGTCCCAAGAAGCATGTTGAAAAACACTTCAAGGGCCTAAATTTGCAACTTGTGTGGAACCTTGTGTGTTTTTCTTGTGGTGGTCTCTGCATGCATCAGTTAAGTGCAAAACTATGACAGCAGAGGAAAAGCAGCAGACAGAAGAAGGAACTCTTGGAGCAAAAAAAACGCTTGGTAAAAATGTGTTAAACTTTCAGAGAACTGTATTGTCCTGTGTTTGGGGTCAAATTGTTTTGAACTACCTTCCACGTGCTAGCAAATGGGATTCATTTTGTTGGATGCTTCCATTTGGATTTATGGCGCCATTTAAAACTCTGTAATGTTTTCTGTCACCATCACCAGCTCATTTCTCTGCTTTGGGACTGTCCAGCTCGGGCACTTGACAAGTATGGGAGATACAGGATAACTTTACTGGGAGTCAGACAGTTCAATGCTCTGTTTATCCATGTCAAAAAGAAAGGTTGAAAAATCAGATTTCTTTAAAATAATGAGTTTTCCAAGGGGATTAATGGTGCAGATTACAGTATGCCATGATGTGTTGTCAAAGAGGAAGACTGTGCCTTGCTGTTGAGTTTCACTGGTATTTCACTGCTCTTTTATAAGGTGAAATATTAGTCTAAGTTATCTGTACAATTTAAAATTATCTCTACAAGTTCAGTCATTTATGTTTATTTATGCTTTTGGGACAGTTGTAAACAGATTTTTGAAAAAAGTAGTGTTTCATTTTGTGAGTAAGAGATTAAAAACATGCCCACATTCATCAAGGCTACGTGTTTTCTAAGGCCTTGAAACACAGATACCCGTGCTATTGCAGTGTGGCTCAAACATGGGAATTATTCCCACTGGGTTTCTTGAAAGCTATAGGTGTTGTTTTAAAGTCTCACATAAGCAATATTGTAAGTAGGTAAGGGTTGTCCTGCTATGGACAGGGTATATAGGCAGCAAAAAAATAGCCAGTCATGTTGTTGTATTTGATCTCCTGGGAGGTCAGGTAGTCGGTGACATGCAAATTTTTTTCATCCCATAGGCAGGATCCCACAGAGTCATTTAGCTCTGTCAGCTGCATGAGCAGAACAACCCTGAGCTCTTTTATTCCTCCAGACTGCAGAGGTGTCTTTTCATTTGGTGCTGCATGGCACTTGGTTGCAGTGGCTGGGCTTGGGACGTATCAGATGCATTTCATTGCAGAAGACACAGTAGCTGCTCCGCGCATGAGCCAGCCCCTAGGAAAGGCTTTGCCCCATCTTACGGAGCCAGTGACCTTGATGGGGATGTTCACCCCTGTGCAATGGGGGCTTTTTGCAGATGGAGTGGATTTCATGCTGTGCTGCTGGTAGCATTGTTGAGTGGGGTCCAAAGCTGCAGAAATTGAGACTGTGCTTTTACTTCCTGCATGGCCAGACCGAAGGAAGAAAGCCCAAGGCTCAAGGGCATGAGAAGCGCTCTCTTCTTTTGTTCTCGGCGTCTTTTTTTTTACTGGCTGGCCATGACATTAAGATTTCTAATTAATTTAGAAACCACAGGCAGTTGAAGAGAGTGAGCAATGTAATAACTGGGCCATGGGGCAGAGTAAAAGCACATCAATTATTCAGGCAGTCGCTGCTGCTTATTCCCTTCCCAAAGCTGGGCTGGCTGTCAGCGTGTGTCAGTGATGCTGCTAATGCCCTTCATAATTTACATGCATAAATAGTGGCCTTTTAAAATCTGCATGAGGATAACTTTAGTATTTTCAACAATAGCCTCCAGCAGCATGCTCTGTCTAGCGGGCACCGGGGGCTCCAACCACTGTTTTGGGTGCCATTGAGCTATTTGGTTCAAAAACTGGGATCTTGGCAGGTGCATCCCCCAGAAGCCTCTGCTCTAGAGAAGTTGCTCCTCAAAGAGGTTAAGGGGCAGCTTGAGCCACGCGAAGAAAGAAACAGTCGTACTTTAAAATGCAGGTGGTGTCTGAGAGTGTTCTCTCTGGGCGAGTGAGTCCAGCATCTCTCATAATGCATCATTCCCTGCTTCTATTACTGTGATGTCTCCAAAGCACACTCCATGAAGAGAGGCATCTCTTGGATGCCTCTGGGGCTGGAGCCAGTGCAGTTCCTCTACAGGTGGAGGAGCAGGAAGCATCCTTCTCTTCCTCACTGCTCTGACTATTGCAGGTCCTGCACTTTGAGCAGTTGGAAAGTTTGGAATAGAGAAGCTTCTCTCACTGCCAAGAGCTACATTCACAGGACTGGCCATGATTGTCTTAAATGGGTACACCTCAGAGTCTCATGTTGGGGATGCCACAGGGAGCAACACTGATTCCTGCACTGAACCAGTAAGGGGAGTGAAAACTGGGGGACCCATTAGATTTTTCTGCCATGGACTACAAGTGGATGACAAAGCCTTATTTTTCTGTCTGGTTGGCACAGTTATCCCTGCTGCTGGAGGCAGCCACCTTGCTTTTTAAAAAGTGAACTGATTTGTGAAGAGAATGAAATAAAATGAGCCTTGCTAATTACGTGTTGTGCCGGCGAAATGACCAGCTTGGATTTGGAAAACGCTGGCTGTAATTAATGGTGAAAGGCTTTTTCTCTCATCTGCGTAGCCATTATGAATCACTTCGCCCCGTGGAAACTTTTAAATCTGTCTCACTGGGGAGCCTGAGGAGGAACAGGTAAAATGGATTTGCCTTAATAGCTGCAGTTGTAACTTAAACACTTGAAATGATATTAAGCATCTCTCTCCATTAGAATTTCATGTTGATCCTGATGATATACCAGCCGAGGCTAAGACAGGATCAACGTTCATTAGATGGAAGAAAATAAACTTTGTAGACAAATGCTTTGGCTAAATGGGGCCTTCATTGCACTGAGAACAAGAATGCAATTAGCTGAAATGTTTGTTTACAAAATCTAATTCCTGGGGAGTATCTTCTCAGATTGCCGCTTACATCTCTTGGGCTGGTTTCGTTGCCAAGGCTTGCAGGTTGACGGATTTTGCAAAGCTTGGTTGTAGTACGCATGTAACAGATGTTTCAAACTTTGCATGGTAAAGCTGAACCCAAGTGAAGAGCAGGGGCTAAGCTGCAGGTGTGTCAGAGTTTATTTGTGCATTCCTCACATTTATTTTTCAGTTTGCAGTTAAGTGCAATTAATATTAAGTATTGGATGCTCCAGATATTAAGCAGTGTAGGCTGAAGAGAAGCTGGAAACTGCACTGCTGAGTGCTGTTACTGCTGTCCTCCTGTCCCCCACCTGGAGCCTAGCCCAGGGGAATCACCGATGGGCTCTCCAGCTGGGTGAGGATGTATCTCTGCCAGGATAACTGCATGAAGAGCCTTGTCCTGGTTGCTTGACAAACATGAACCTCCTCAGAAGGTGATTTTTCCTATCTGCAATGCAAATCATGCCATGGACGTGCTGCTTCTCTTTGGGTTACAGAAATGGCCAATGGGAAACATAACTGCTGCCATCCAGATATTAGAGCAGGTTTTGTCACTGTGTAGGCTTTGTGGAGTTGGAAGGATCAGGCATTTGGAGCCTGTGCTGATACCAGCAAAACAGCTTCATACTAATTGTAAGCATGCAATAGAACATTGCACTGCATGCTT